TTTTCCCTCTTTGTTCTCAGAGATAACGGAGGTTTGCATCGGATTTATGGTGTTTTGACCATTAATTCTCTAATGAATGCAATTGTCTTACAGAATGCAAACGACTTCAAGACAATGAGTTCCCACTCATAACGCGAGTGATGTTGGGACCAAATGAATCGGCGGCCAAAGTGTTCATATTTAACAAGAATAAGGACGAGATATCCAGTGAAGTGAGTGACTGATATCCAGTGATATCCAGTGATATCCACTGATATCCAGTGATATCCAGTGATATCCACTGATATCCAGTGATATCCAGTGATATCCAGTGATATCCAGTGAAGTGAGTGTCGCCCAAGACTTGTCACTCACTTCTTGAGCCATAATCTAATATGATTGACAATAATATCTCACCGATAGGTCGCCCAATACCTGCGCCTATCGAACCCCGAGCTCCAGATGTTCCTCAAGAAGTTCGAAGAGGAAGAGATCCGTGAGATAAACAAACTGAAGAAGAGGTTCGCAGACGTGAAGAAATGGATTAAATTAAGACTTAAAGAACTGGAGGCATAGAAATCCCATTTGTTTAATGGTTTACAATCTCTTTCTTATGACATCTATTGATATAGAAATCATGTATCCATACAACGGGGCCAAAGTCGGGGGTATTTTTAGTGCTAACCCTCCCGACGATCCCCTGTTATTAACTATACTAACAAATAATATACTTATTTGTCTAAAATTATACCAAATTATACGAAAGTACTGCCCATTGATTAGTTGACCAAAAAGTTATATCAATCAGTCATTGAAATGTATTAAAACTATTATAACATTATTTGCTATATATTTAAGTTTACTTGTTTAATAATACCATTTATATTACGATTTAGCACTGTTTATAACGATTAATACTTAATATTTATAACATGATCATTGAATTAAAATGAATGAATTGACTTTTTTCATACAAAATTGGCGTAAAAATGATTTCATAAAAAGTTTCACGAGTTTCACAAACTGTGAAACCGATAGTCAAACGCAATGTTTGCCATAAATAACGCAATGATTGCATAGAAAAGGCATTGCATTGCAAAAGGCATTGCATTTGACGGACACAAACACATGTGCTCTGAGTTTGTCTGCAAACGAGTGATTGTTATTTGAATGAAGGTTTCAATTGACCCCTAATTACAAGACATTACAAAACGGGAAAAGTTTTTCTTGTTTACGGATATAATCAGTAGTGTTGAGCACAAAGTGGCAGATATGGTGACACAGGAGGACAGCCAGTCTGTGGCCAACGAGTTGGAGACCAAAATCATACGACAAATTGAGGTATTGTCTCGTTTTCGGTGATATATCACCAATAGTTAGGTTCAGAAAAAGTTTGTTAATTGATATTATCATTGATCTGTGGTTTCAGTACTACTTCTCGGACATCAATCTAAGCAAAGATAAGTTTCTCAAAGAGCTGATCCCCAAAGATGACGGATGTATGTATGCGTTGATCCACTCGCTTACGAGTGGCGTGTCTTTGCGGTTGAGATGATAATTGTCTTTTATGTGAAAAGGGGTGACGTTTGAGATACTGTTGACATTCAAGCGGTTGAACGCGTTGTCCGGAGACAAAGAGGTGATCGTAAAGGCGTTGCGAAAGTCTTCGTCAAACCTCCTGGAGATCAGTGAATGTGAGACCAAATTGAGACGAAATCCGGAGAAGCCTTTGCCAGAGATTAACGATGAATACACTCAAGAGCTCAACGAACGGACCCTACATTTGAAGGGCTTTCCCACTGACGCCAAATTGGATGACATAATGGAGTTCTGCAGACAATACGGAACCGTTGAGAACATTGAGATGAGAAGACACATGAAGACCAAGACGTTTAAGGTATGAATCAATTTGAAACCAAATGATGGTTAAAGTGCTAATCGCGTGATCTGTTTCTTATGGACACTAAAGGGCTGTATATTCGTGGTGTTCGCCACCAAAGACGAGGCGCAGAAAGTGTTGACCGCCGATGAAGTCAAATACGACGGCAAAGACTTGTTGCGCGAAAATAAGTACTAAATCTTTGTCTCCATTTGAATACTGAATAATAAATCTAATGAATGAATGAATGAATAATTAATATATAGAAAACTAATTGTGATTTTGTTTGTATAACTAATACTTGGTGTAAATCTCTGGTCGCAAATAAATCTGAATTTATTTTTGCATTAAATTAGAGTCACTTATTGGGCGCGAAAGAAGGAGTTCTCAGAGCGCCGGCAGAGAAAAGGTGGCAAACCTGTCGTCAAAGACGAGAACGCTTCCGGCGATGGAAAGCCTGAATCTGTTATCAATTCTGTGCGATTCGCCGGCGCTGTGCTTAAGCTGTCAGGACTGCCAACTGATGCCAAGTTTTCGGACATTAAGACACTATTCCTAAAGTACGGACCCGTGGCTTATGTGGAGGCCGTCAACGCTCAACAAGAGGTACGGTATCTGAAGTTTAAAAATTGTGGCAAAAAAGTTTAAACTGGTTTTTGTATGTAAAGAGTTTCGTGCG